ACACGTTTCTTTTCAAAGTCTGGCTCTCTGGTTGGCATCACACTTGAACGTTATAATACCAAAAAATAAAAATCATTGCTGACAAAACCTTTCCCCATTTAAAAAGAGCTTTACATGAGAAAACATCTGTCACAGCCTAAAGAGGATTGAATCCTGTAGGCTACTGGCATTTTTCCACAATTGGCCTAGGAGAGATGTCTAAGAAGAACCCAAAACAACCATATTATTAATTATTAGAAAGAGAACAGCTGCTTGCAAAATTCAATAGCATTTTTTTGTTTGTTCGTTTGACTTTTACAGTCTCACAGGAATTCAAGTGTAATATTTGTGCATTGGTACTTGGCAAATTATTCACTTAGTGCTGAGCATCGTTTTTAGCTTGACAGTGGAAATAGTCAATTAATATGCTCTAATTCTTTCAACTGAACACTTCAAAACAAAAATTGATATTGGTGGATTTTTGTTTAAGAAAGCATTCTGTCAGAATAAAAAAACAGTTGAGCACCTAGGGTTCTAGTCTGCTAATGATAGAACAGAAATGGTAGTATATTATCAGTTTGAGACATTGTAAGTCATTATAATAAGTAAGCACTGAGGTGTTTAACTGTACATGGCAATAGAAAAGTTAAATAACTTTGAACAGACACGTGTATATCATGAGTGAGGTCTCAGTATGCTTCATTAGTAGAGAAAACTAAATGAAAGCTTTCTGCTGAACAAGCATCCTTTGCTCAAGTGGAGCCCAGTAGCTCTCTCACGCCACACAACCACGTTTCTGCTTTCCTTCTACTATCACTCTAGGAGCAGACTTACAGTCCTTCTCACCACAAACCAATAATTTCCCTACTGATCCCATGAACACAGACTTGGGTCAAAGGAAGAATTTTATTTGGTTGATTATTTTCATTTTTTCTTACAGAAGTGAGGATTATGTAAATGAAACTGAGAGACCAGAGAAATGCTAAAATAAATAGGTTTGCTTGATGAAACACAAATTCAAGCAGATTCAGTAAGTAAACAAGGGATTAATTTTTGTTACTCCGGAGATTAATCTTTTTAACGAGACATAAAAGTTAAAGAAAAAAACTTCCAAGGACTATAACATAAAATGAACAACAAATTCCAGTGCCAAATTCATCTAAACATAACCTCAGAGGAGTAATTCGATGTCTTGGTTTGATCACTTTTTTTTCCCACTGTCTAATTTCTCATTAAAAGTTCACAACAAAATCAATAAAGAACTGCCTTTTTTTGTTTGTTTGTTTCTTTTTCTCCCTACTTTTAAGAAGTCAGTGTTATTACCTGACTGCCTAAAAGAAGTACAGCCAGAAATTACATCAAAGAGAGAAAGGGACCAGAAGGGCAGCATGAAATGAATGCCACAGGGTATAGTTCCTCAATTATCCACTCTTCCATCACTTTTATATTCCAAAGAAGGCCTTTCTTTTTTCATTAATATAGTTTTAAATAGCATCATAAAGTAATTGGCTACATGGGATTACTATACATCTTATTTCTTTAGAAATACATTTTTCTATAGTGGCCTTTGAGGCCCACTAATTCCTAAGTTGAAAGCAGCTGATATCGCTCCCTTACTGTGGATCATAAAGGAGAATTTCAGATTTGCTTGGCACAAAGCCATGTCATTTGGTTTCCCCCGTGGAATCAGCACTAATGATGTTAAGATCAAGGTAACCAAGGAACCTTCCTTTGTGACCACAACTTGAACATGCGGAGACAAGATGGAAGGAAGTAAGCTGTGCTTTTGAATATGTCAGGGCAGATATAAAGAACATTGTCCATGCTGTCACAGAGCAGTGTGAAATCTTCCTGCAGTGCAAGGGACTCAAGAAGGTCCTGGATCAATGTCTATAGACCGCAAATGCAACTTTCGTTAATAAGATGTTAAAAATAGCCAGATTGATCCTTTTCATAAAGGCTAAGGAGAACGAACAAAGTTCAGAATCAAAAATAAGTCTGCACTGGTGTTTTGTACTACGTTAAAACCTGTATTTCCAGCAGAGCACACTATAGCACATAGTGCAGTTCAGTGTAAACATACACCTCAGCCAGCTGCATTCCCACTGAAAAACTCTGGAGCTCATTTGCATTCCAGTTCAGAAGAAAATACCTGTATTTCCTGCAGTAAGCAATACTGGAGGAAGTATGGTCTTGACAAGAAGGCTGACTTCTTTCAGCCTGAAGGATGCTCCAGGATCAGCACAGATGGTCCAAAGCTTTTTCACATAGAGCCTGGGCAGCCTAATGCAATGCAGTAAAACCTGAAGGGAACCATTCTTCAATACACGATGGAAACAAGATGGCATTTTGATGGGCAGGCAGCTCATGACCATATGCGAGCTAGCCACAAAATGCACACAGGATTATGCTGCAGACAAATGGAACTGTTCAGACCAGAACAGGGTGACTATCTACTCTGCTCAGAAAGAAAAAAGACTCCAGATAACTCAAGAACATTTTCTTAAAGGTAATTTTAGTGACTAAGATAAATCCTGTGTTCCCTTGGATAGATTCTTTAGATAGTCTTGTGTCAGCGTAAATTTGAACAATTTAGAGAGCCTGGCAATCTTATCCTTGAAAGATAATTCAGCAATTTAAGTTAAGGAGAAGCATTAAAACAAACCAAACAGGCATGCCAATTTAGTCAACCCTTTTAAAGAAAAAAAGGATTAGGTCTCCTCTTTTTTTAATAGTAGTCTTCCAAGTCAAAGAACAGTTTACATTAAAAGTTAATTATTATTCTGCTGAAACTAATCAAACAACTTGGGAACTTGCAAAGGTTTATTCATGTTTTTATCTGCATTCTGTTGAGTGGTCCCAATGATTTAAGGTTAATTACTCATATTAGAGGAGTCATACAGATCACATTCATGTTTTAATTGCACCTAGTGTACATTTGCTAAAATACACACTGACAGATAAGATTCATCTCCACATGAAAAAAAAAATCAATTATGTTGCAGAAGCAAGAGAGGTAAAAACCAAACAAGAAGGAACTTTAGGAGATGCTTTCCCAATCCCTAATTTATTACTATAAAAAAAAGATATATGTATTTGCCCATAAGACAGCATGGAAATGGCTCTTTAATCGTACTCTACCCCTAAATCACATAATTTCACTCAATAGGAAAACAGTGTTATCAAAAGATCTGGAGCTACTGCCTGCCCTTGCAGGAAGGTGGGCTCCCCCATAGTTTAGAAAGTATTTTTCATCTCTAGCACCGGTGATCATGATTTCCAAACATGGTTCATAGTAAGTTACATGCAGGCAGTACAAAAATTCCTGTAAACAACAGGAAGAAATACAGTCAGCAGACTGACAGCTAATCTATAAGAATATGACAGTATTTTCAATTCCTGTATCAGGACAGTTAACAGGACAGTACACAGCACTTGTAAACACATCAGTAATTAGACATATATGAGAATTCACAAATGAAAATCCTTGTTTACAGATGCATTTTTCCTGCCTTCCTCCTGACACTGCATCCAACTTGTACTTATAATACTCTTTTAAAACCAGATGACATTAGCTCAACACTACCACACGCTGAACTAAGGAACTTTTACAAGATTTTAATCTGTCCATAAAAGTCTTAGTCAACACAACAAATCCTCAAATACCCCAAAAATCATTTCTAAAGGATTTATGGGGCTTTTGTGGTCAAGCTGTCAATTTGATTACTTTTTAATATTTCAAAAGCACAGCCATAACGATTTCCAATTCTCATTCTGAAGTAAATACCTTCACATGCTCATAAAACCTTGACTTTGTTTGATGTAGACTTACAGAGTACATGTATACTTCTGGGAAGCAAGGTGAGCAGCAAAGCTCATCTAACTAACCTGATTCTGCTTTGTCCAGATCAGAGAACTTACAAAATGCCCCAAACCTCCTTTTCTCCCAGTACAAGTAGATTTCCTTCTAAATTACATGTAGTGGTACAGGACACACCTTCCCCCTTTCCAGCAGTGCAGGGATGTGACCAGCATGCCCAGAGCTATGAAAAGCCCTTGAGACTGCAATTCCTAAATTAATAGAAGCAGCAGAGAACCGTATGAAGAGGAATGAAACACCACTTTTTGGTTGAAAAGCCTATTTAACTAACAGTGAGACTTCACCAGGACTCCAGTTACACTTCTGATCTACAATATGTTTCTGTTTAATTTTAATTAATTGATTTTTTAAAATCTTATTCAAACATTAACCTGCTTTGAAATCTACCGTGTTTTTCCTGACCTACAACAGGAGTCTCCAGCATCAGGATCTGGAAATTGTGCTGATACTCTACTTAACCACTGCAGTTTAAGCCATCTTGCTCAAAACTTAAGCCTCCAAGCAGACTGTGTTCTTCAGGAGCTCAGATAGATACATCTCTCTCACCTTATATATATATATATATATATACTTTATATATTTCTGAATACCTATAAGTAGTACTGCTAATCTTTTTCACCGGGGAAGACTGGACAACCATTCCCCATAGCTACACTCTTCCTGATTCATGAAACGATACACAAGGAGTGAATTCCTTTTAGCCTCAATATGTGATGTGGCAACATCACACCCATTATCAGTTATCAGTGCCATTTTTATATTTTCTGTCTTAGCCATAGTGATTCACTTTATGGTCTTAGGATGCAGTTTGAAAGTTCACGTGCAGCTTTCCTAAAGGGACAGGGGGTGTCACATGAAAACATTCTTATTTCTGTGTGGTTTGTGACACCAATTAGAGAAGAAATGGGATCTTGAAAAAACAAAATTGGTCCATGGCTGCTATTAAAACTGAGATTAGTTTGGAAATCTAATGATCTACCACTGTCCTTAGGCAATTAAAACTGCCTTGATGTCCCCATTAAGCTTCCCGTTCTCTTTAGGGGAGAAACAACAATTGCTTATTGAAAATACATATCTTCTCTGCAAGAAAGTAAAAATAAATCTGAACTGGCAGAAAAACTGTGTTTGTCCTTATTCTTACCTTCCCTGCATGGGGACTTGAGTGAAATCCTTCCCCAGAGCAACGCAGCCATCCTCTTCAATTGCTGCTTTTTCACAGGGGGTGTGTGGCTCTCCAAGACTCGATACCATGCCATGATACTCTTTTAAGAGCCACAGCTCATTGCAACTTCTGGTCCCCGGTTTGGTTGCCACTCTTGCAGATAAACTGGTTTGATGTGAAGGGGTCCGATTCAGCTCCATTTCTTGTCTAGAAACCATACTGTCATCCTTGTTATCCAAGTACATCTGTTCCTGGGGGCAGTTCTCCTAAAGAAAGCAAAAACAAATACATTAGGACTAAACTGAATTGACTCAATATTTACTCCAATATAAGCATGTTAAAAATGCCAAGCAGTAGATTTTTTTTTCTTTCACCTTTAGCTATTTCCCTTGTAGATTTATTTCAACCAGGAATAATTCCAAAATTTTAAACCTCTTTGCAACTTCAAAATTAGCCATTATAGAGAGCACAGACACATGTAAAGAGACCTTTTCCATGTCTGTCATAATTTTCTCCACAAATTCACCCAGAACTTGCACTCTCCTGTCCCACACAATGAGCCAGAATCACCTCCGGATCAATGAGGACAGGCATTGAGTCTATACTTAACAAGAAACAAACAGCCACAGCACTATCAGCGAGCTTTGTACTAATAAAGTAAAAACTAAAACACCAATCCTTTTACATCTGTGTAAATGGAAATCCAGCTAATGCCAGGAAGAATTATCTCTGATTTACAGACCTCTTAGCACTAGGAAAGTGGGAACCAAATTTTGGCCAATCTGTTAAGACCCAAGCTCCTGCTGGATGCAGCCAAGTTACTGGCCTGCTGTCTGCCACCTGACACCCAGAAACAGGCCTGGGACCTATTCAGAGGCCCCAGGCTCAGAAAATCTCCTATGGCATAACATCTTCTGGGGTTGTCATAACAGCGTTTCACCAACTCAACCAGCTCCTCTCCTGCCCACAGCAGTGATCCTGCACTGTCTTCCCAGCCTACAGAAAGCCACTGCTGCTCTGAAGTGGTACCACAGCCAGCAGCTCCTTGTTAAGCAGATGGGATACTTGAGGTTTACGGAGACAGCATTCCATTTTACCAGCTGCCAATGGCACTTAGGAAATGTGAATACAACCTTGATGAAAATTAGGTTCTATTATATGATTATTAAAAATGATTATAATAAAACTTTATGCATAACAGTCGAAAAGCTTTTATACTCTAATCATTACAATTCAGTGTGAAAAGTTACAAAAAAAAGCACTTCAGAATATCACAAAGTGCCCAAATCAGACACGGAGACCACATTAGAGAGCAGCCCTTCTTGAACACACGCTGAGGGATGTAATTATGGGCCTGTTCGACTGCGAAGTGACAAAGTCACCACTGAGGACAGCAACAGCCCGGTACACAGGTCTGTCAGCTTCATGCATCCCCACAGGAAGGAAGCACAGCCATTCTGGAGCCTGTCCCCGCTCCTTCCTCCGGAGACCTCAGCAAAGGACAGGAAGATAGAAGCACTGGGCCATGGGGCAGAAATAAAACCATTCCAGGGAACAGGCTCAGCAGGAGAAATCACTGGATATGGAAATAACAAAAAGATAATCCTGGATTTGTGCAGCTTTGGGCTCTCCTGATCATACAGACTAAAATGTGACAGAGGCTCCTGAAAGGAAAGGCCAAAGTACATACCACTAGAAACATAGATCTCAGCTACAAGCAAAGGCAGGCTTGCAAACCAAATCTTAATAAGAATCTCCCCAGGTGGCATTTCTTTCTCTAGCACTGCATTTCTTTGTTTTTCTACTCCCAGCATCCTTAGCTTTCACATAATAATCTTCTGCATCTGTCCTGATAGGTAGTTTGACTAATTTGACTCTTCCCTTCATTAGTATCAACACAAATAAGCCTTTGATTGTACTTGGTTTTCCTCTAGTTGTTGTTACATCCGTCACTCAGTATAAAGAGCACAAGTATGGCTGGTGTAGTACCAGATGCACCACCACTGAGCTGATCTGGGGCATCTCCACAGTCTGGAAAACACTGAGTTTTGGTGATCCAAGACATAGTCTTGAGTGAGAGGCTTGAAGAGCTACACTTTTTTGCATTGTACCTTGAGACCAATGGCTGGCAGTACCGGGAGAACCAACTCACAGCTTGTAGAGGCCAACACCAGCCACCAACATCCTTATACCACCTCTGGTAGCCTGTGGCTCTACCACTTGCAGCCCACACTAAAATCCCAACCTGCCTTTCACTCTAACAGGTAACTTTTAGATAACTTTGAATGCAAGTACTTCCAACTGCAAATGGAAAAGACAATTTCTCATCTTCATTCTTACTTAATGGAATTATGTACTGGTTTTATCAAGACACTCTGTAAGTCAAAACTAAGATATCTGCTCACTCGTTACATTTTTTCATAACATTTGGTTTGTCTGAACACCTGCTGTGAAAATACACAGGCTTTAAAGTGATGTCAGGCTGTGGAAACATGAGCTTCAGCTGTACTAGCTTTTTTAAGATGAGAATATGAACACAAACTCTAAAATCGATCATGTCTCACCCTAAAAGTGTGAAATAGATATATCCTGAGGTGAGTAAGGACTAAATCAGTTAGGCTCTTATAAGTACAGAACCTTAACATGAAAGACATTTATTTTAAGAATTAACATCAGTGAAAAATAAAAGGACAAGAAGCTTGAAAGAAAATCTGATGCCTGAATACAAAATCATAAACCACAGTACTGGACATTCAAAAAAGCTTTGCAAAAAACAAAATAATACAGCATCATTTTGCCACTAGAGACAGGTTTGATTGTGATTACCTACGTAGCTAAACATTGCTAAGGCAACTATCACCATGGTATCTAAGCTTCTGAGACATCAGTGCATTTACCATTCAAGAAATTCTCAAATGATTACATTTCCCTGTAGTTACAGAACTTTTCTCCTTTTTTTTTTTTCCTTCATTTTTCTTATTTACAGTGTCACCATCAGCAAGGAGACATAGGTGAGATGTTATCGTGAGAAGGTGAGGAGATATTTTGACCAAGGAAAGTTCATTTTGTGTTCATCTGTCTGGAGCCATGTACTACCAAAGGTTTTATAGCCACAGCTAGAAACTGTTATCTAGGGTTTGACTGTGAAAGGGTTAATACAATATTTAAGCAATATTTGTTATCCCTTTTCATCCCTTTCATCCCAGCCCAAGCAGTTGAACATCTGTTTTTAGAATACTGGCAAATAATTTGCTTTCTCTTTAAGGTTTCAGTTGCTAATAAGATGAACAGGTTATCTAAAATGTTTTATATAAGAGACTTTGTGTAACCTGCTTTTAGTTGCAAAACAAAATGCTAGTGGCAAATGATGTAGCTAGTAATATATCATCATTTAAACCACTATATTCCTGAGAATCAATAATCACAGCATAGCATCTCTGAAAACAAAAATGAAGTAGAATTTAATCTTAGAGCCCATGAGGCTACAAAATATGACATCTTGAGATAATATAAGCAGTATATTTTCTGTCTTGCATATCTCATCATGTTTCAAGGCCTTTCTCCCACTAAGACTAGAAAATACATTAAAAAATATTACCTTTACACTTAGCCACCTCTGCATTACCAAACAGAAACCCAAGTTTAAGAAAATAACTACTGGGAGAAGAACTGTGTGATGCTGCTAACATGGTATACCCCTAGCCTTTTTTTTTTAACAACATTTACATTCATGTCTGCTGGGAAGCATTTCACCCAAGAGTAATTAAAGCCAAATCTTGTCCACCTGAGAAGGCTCTCTGCATCATCTGAGTCTAAATAAACTTCTATCCTACTGACTCCTCTTTCAGCCTGCCCCTGTATAAGGAGCACTGCCAAGGCCAGAGGGACTGCTGAGAGGAAGCTCATGCACTGCTTACACTGAGAGTTCATACAGGCAGATGCACCACCAAGGCACATTTCTGTGTATGTATTTCCCTCCGGGTATACATTTCATGACAGCTTCCCCACAAGTCAGACAAGTGATACTGTATTGGCTGCCTGAGGTAAACACACCTAAAAATTGTCTCAGCAGCAAGGAGGAGAAGAGCTGCTCTTAGCCTGTGGCCACAGAAACAGATCAGAACGTCAGCATTAAACCTCAGAAATCTTCCTGTAGCAGGTTGATCCCTGCAGATCTATTGCCATGCATATCCCTGGCCAAGAACTCGGGAAAACTCATCCCTAGAGCTGCAGCCTATAAAACAGACACCACACACACAAACTCCCACATAAGGACTGCCGAAACATGTTTATTTATATTTATTTAAATTGAGGAAAGGTGCTGGTGTGTCTAACACTGCAATTTGCAAGCAAGAATTCTCAGTGTTTCTAAATTGGTAGGTTTTCTCTTATAAATAGAAAATGTTTCTAACTGTAGGAAGTAAGATACTGGTTTGGGCATACAGGGTGTAACAACTTACTTTGACATCCATTATTTGACAATATATTCCAGTGATGTTTTCTCTAAAAACCCTGCCTCTCCTACACATGGGATCCTTGTTATCCCATAAAGTAGTGCTATGGGCTGCACAGAATAATGCTGCATGGAACACCCTCCTTTGCACAACCAAGTGGGAAGATTAGAGTGCAGGGCAGGCCACCACAGAATGTGGTTTCTTTCCTTTCCATGTTTTTGGGCTCTTCTTTTTTTTTCTGACCATCAGTAGCAGAAGGGGAATTGTGTGGTTAAACTGTTATCAGCATGACCTCTTAGAGCCAGCATTATGCTCCAGCTGCAAAAACAAGACTGCCTGAGACTTGTATCTAAGACATCTAAGTAAGCTTCCCTATTTGCATTCACCATGAATTCTTGGCCCAAGGTATGGGCTTGGGCTATTTTAGCAAGTGGAAGTGGGATGATGTGCTGTAAGAAGCTCTCTCTCCAATAGGGCCTGACCAAGAAGAAATTGTTTCAAATTATTATCAGGTGAGCTGTTCTAGCTGGTTGCTTCCAGACAGGACAAATCACTACAGCCCAGCTACCTTATATTCTCTCCCATCAGCTTGTAAAGCGTTTAAAATATCACTGTTACACACTAGCAGAATTTCACAGTTTACAGTAAGTTGCTGCATACCCTTAGTCAGGAGGAGCATGTCTGTCTGAGAATGCTGCACTTTCCTGACTCAAGCACTGAACGGCCAGATCTGCTGGAGCTGAGGCAGCACAGAGTCATTTGCTGTGGCCTTGCATTCTATATTGGCAATC